TACGTTGTGTCTCCAGCTTCGGGTCTTACCCCTTTAGTTTGTGTTGGGACTGAGATTAAGTGGGTATTTAAGACGATGACTGGGAGCTCTTAGGACACAATGAGTCGTCTCCAGGTCACCTACGAGACTTTAACACTGTAATGGATAAAGGCCTGGAGATTTGAAGCCTTTTATGTAAGGCTCGAATTTGAGTTCCCGAACTGATTTCGTGACCCACTTATGAATTAGTTCCAATTCATCCTCATACTTTTGGAGTGACGGAAGAAACACTGTGTTTCCACGCAGTTAAAGATTAAGTGGAAAGTTCTGTCGTCGAACTGGCCAAAAATGCGCTTCGACATGACTTGTTCATGATTTGCTGGAAAGACATTTTTGCCGTAGTTAGTATAAGGCTTCAGATAATAGGGTACCAACACTCTCAAGTCTTGTTCAACTTGAGATACTTCCAGAGAGTAATTACTTGAGTTCTATGCGTAGTCTGCTACATGTCTTACATGGACTACTTTGTACTTTGAAGTGTTAAGTGTAAGTCCTTTGTTATCTACCTAACTTTGAAGTCGAGTCAGGTTTTCCTTACGTTATTCGTCCTCGTTGCAAACATCTCTCGAAAGTTTCACGTCATCAGCGAGACGTAACAAATAAGATAGTACTTGCTGAGTAAGGCTAATTACGCAAGTTAAGAAAATAAAGGGTTAATGCTATTTTCATCCCTTTCCAATTGTAAGATTCGAAACCCGCTTCTGAAAGCACTCTTGAAGTGTTTGAGTATGACAGTATGTCAGAAGAAGACAGTATTGAACCTTTGTAATGCTGTTTCTTCAGTTGTCCAGTGCTTTTTTGTCTTCAGACTCAGCTCATCAACCACAAGCTAGTGATGTGAAACACAAATGACAATGTTTTCGAGAATATTCTTAATGAAGAATGCTGAGATGATATTTTAGTCCTAAAACAAAAGCGTGCCCTTAGAATTTCAAACTTATTCAATATGAAATTCACCACTTCTCGAACACTTTCGAAACACTCCGCTAAACTGACTATCCCTTAGTAGTTCGAAACCGATATAAGAGATCACACGAATAAGGTAATAAGTAAAATAATTTGTTATCAATTCACAGTATGTTTTGGAAACACACTCTTCATTAAACATTTCGAAAACCATTTCTTTTGACTGATCCTAAGGCGGAGGGACAGAGGGGGAAGAGAGCATATTTTATGCCACTCAAACTGCTATTCCTTATTTAAGTGCCCACGCATAATAATATCTTTCCTTTTGATGGTCGCTTCTTTGGTAGTCTCCCTTATTTAGTAGTCGCCATTTTTCTCGCGCCCTTTTGAACGGATATTCCATAACAGAGGGCCCATTCCATATGTGGTTTTACGATTCCTACCTAAAATACACAAGCATATGCAGCATAGACGCTCAGTACAACGCTGAATTTTCATGACCGAGTCTACAGACTTGAATATTACTTTCCATATGAGCTTTGTCATCACTAACCGTGTGTTGTGATAATCAGTGTGCGCCAATTATCAATGCGTTCTCAATAAACACTCCAGATAGTGTAATATAATATTATTCTGTGAGTACATTTTAAAGTGAACAGTTGACGCTGTATAACACTTCAACTGAGATCAGGTGCCCACAGACTCTTAAAAATATCCATTGATACAGATATCCCACCATGGTAGATAAAAACTGCAAGTTCATCCGGTATGTAGTCCCACCACCTTTTCCCCCTCGAAAAATCACAAAGACTAAGGTAGACAAACAGTCAGTACAGAGAAGAGAAAAGACCCTCACCAACCAAGGAAAAATCTCAACATGTATTCACAAACAAAGTGCCTATTTCAAAGATAGTCCATAAGTCTAATGCCGTCACACACTGATAAGGAAATAACTTTTTCAGTCGAATTATCAAGGCCAAGTATAGTGACGTTAGGCTAGGAGTGGCACCTGTAGTGTGGCGTTGAGTTACGTTTGCCTATGATCACCACTACAGGAAAACTACGTGCCAGTTAGCCGATAAGATCCCCCGTAGGCCAAATATAAGAAGGCAGTTGGTAGCTGTAGTCGAGATATAGTTGTTGGTGATCTCGTGGTATCGAAAGAATGTCGAGATCGTGCCCGGTTACAAGTGTGGTTACTGAGCGTAACGGAATTCGTGCAAGGTCACAATCAACGGAAGAATTTATTTTCATGGTACAGTTAAACAAACACGTACAGTAAAACAATCCTTGGTACAACTGGTTATAATAATAATTGTTTCCATTACACTAATCGCGCTCTGTTGATAAAAGTAGGTCACAACACACCCGTGACACTGGACGACAAACAAGCATAGAAACCCATCTCACAAACAATCTGATCACCTAAATACCACTATATTCTCCTCAAAAACTGTAAAAAGAAGGTAGGGCACACCCCAGTCGCTGTCTAGTGACTGCTGTTAAAAATTTAAACTTACGAGCAATAAAAGTGATTACGTTCGAAACTTAGAAAAATATTAAAAAAACGAACTTTCCTAATTACCGTAAATCTTGAGATTGGTACATTCAGCAGCATTTAAGTTTGGTTTTTACCTCAAGGAACTGCGCTGTTCCTGGAAGAGCGTGAAAAAATATGTTTGATACGGAGATCCACTACGGTGCTTTTCATGATACTCCATATCGATCCTCCCACTAAACAATCTTTGACCTATTTTCTAACTGTTCCATGAACTTTTCAATAAAATAAACTCCGCTAAAACTGATATCAAATTTATATCATCGTAAACCTTCTGCAACTGAGTTCTGAAAAGAGGATCTCCTGATACAACTTAGTTGTCTCAAGATAGCCCATACGATTTCAAAAAACAAGTGTCTTTATTTCCCATTGCTAAGGAATATCGAGGCAGGATGAAAAGGCTGTTTTGTACTGTCGTTCTACATCCATCACAATCCGAAATCAACTGCCTGTGAAAACCATCATTATACAAAATGTTGTAAAGTGTGCCTAGTCACTAATATAACCATCAGAACAAAAATTTCCAAAAAAAGTCAGAAGCTTTCAGCGCTATCAAGTTTCTGTATTTCTACGAACTCCTCGGTTCTCATATGGCCTTAAGAGCTAAAATTAGTGATCCATCAGAGTCGTTTAGCCACGGTCAACTCCAAGATAGCTGAAGACTGCCTGAATACTTCAGCAATTTCCGAGATAGTGTTTTAATGACTTGACTTCTGCAATATTATTTTCACTGATTATTCCTTTTTCAGCCTTCAATTAATCGAAACAACTGTAGGTTATCATAACACTAGTGACGGTCCTCTCACTCATTAGTCGCCTTTCACAACTAACAGCGATAACCTATAGGATTCTTCGCTGACTAAATATATATTTATTTAACTACATAAACATTGGTGCAAGGAGGTATCAAATAGATATGCACCACATTTCATTGTTCGACTTGCGTGAGCACTGGAATAGTACCCAGGTGCACAAACCGAAACAAGGTTGACTAAATAAGCAAAAGCAGGTGATGAATTCCTACTACGTAAATATAAAGTCCACGTTTCGCGCAAATAGTGTTTTATTCAAGATTTATTTCAGAATTTAGACATAGAAGCCCTATTGTTCAGTGATAAGACGAGATTCATAACGATAGGAGTGATACTGGGAGAGCCCGAATAGTTGGAGAGTAAAATAAAACCACTATCCTACGGATGTTACTAATGAGGGACGAAATATATGGGAGAACGACAAATGTAAACCAGCAAGTAGCACTAGGATGTCTTCCATATCATCAGGGTTGGTGTTGTACTTTGGAAAAGTAGAAAACTTCTGGCTTTATCAATTCCTGATCGGGTTACGTAAGACAGGGTCAGATAATCATTCTACACACTTGCAACTGTATTGCGCGTAGGACCATTGACTAAGTAACAACAGTTCATACCTTAACAACTACCGACCCTCGAGTTCCTTACAACCGTGTCCAATTAGAAGACGGAGTCACTAAGCAGATACATCCCATATTGTGTAACAATCTAGTTCAATGAATCAACTCACATAAAAATACAGAGCAATTTCCCGAATACATGGACATAAATACGGAACTGTTTGCAGAACTATCGCACAAGTTAAAGGCCAATGATTAGTTAGGAATAACTCAAGTAAGATAAAAAAAATAAAACAACGACCAGTGCCCCAACAGTAAGATTACAATCTGGAGAATATAAGAGTATAATAAGTTAAATGTCTGATAATTATACAATGATAACCACTAATTCTCCGTCCGATAGTTACACAAATTACAGCCCTCTCGATAGTCACTTCCACAGCAGCTGGCACTTTCAGCGGAGGATTAAAAGAATAGTTAGACCAAGCGATAGTAGTCCTGAACAATTAGTCCAGTTTTGGTTGTTAGTAATCAGGAAATTGTCATCATAAGTCCCCAGGTAGCTGACGTCTCGAAACGTGTCTTCGGTCACAAGATGTTCGAGCACATATCACCCAGTTATAGTCAAAACCCTTAATACTGAGCATATCGGGCTACAAATATCTCCTAACAGGAGTGAGGCACCAACAGTAGTCAAGTAGTGATTCAGGTGATGTTTGTCTATTAACTCCCGTGGCTAATACTGGATGATGCGAGCTCCAATCACAGAGACACCAGTCCCCTCAAATTGGTACATACTTCTTGTTGGCAAGTAAAAACTAGTCTAAACCCTAGACCCATCCCTTTCATTAACCAACCAAAACCATAATATACTAGTGCTTCTAATCAATGAGCTACCAATTTGCATGATGAAAAAGCGAGATACCGTCGGGCAGTGGAGCTTACGCATGAGAAATACAGAAACACTGCATTCGTGATTACAAGAAACAGCAATCCCTATTGCGTCCGTTTATTATTATTGCTCAGTTAGGAGTTCTAAAATTAACAGTAGAAACACAGATGGAGCCTAAAACTGTAAGCAGTAAACTGCTAAATAACGATGAAAGACTCAGTTTACAGAATAGTGAATCAATTTGCATACAATGTGTATTTAAAAAATGAGGCAGGTATCTATAATCATATTTAAATTGTAATTGAATTCATACAATATGATACCACACTCTACACATACTAACATTATCCTCTACTTACATTACAAAATACAATTTAATGAACGAACAATGACAATATATTGTAAATCATCAAGTGAAAAACAACCTGAATCTAAAAAACACCATCAAGACATAAGACCGAAATGCGTGTAAAAAAATGAAATGAGCGCCAAAAATGAAATATAAAATTTTAGGGTTTAATGGTATACATAAATATATATAAAAGCAGTAATTATTGATGAAATAGAGAAATAGGTTCGAAAGCAATGTAAATGAAAAAAATAGCATAACAATAGCTAAATCATGCTAAGATTATCAGATCTGAGAGTTTGATTCATTAGCTATAAGACCTGTATGTTAGGCCGCCTTTATTTTCATAATTTATATTTCTTCATAGCCAATTTGACGGCGTCGACTACTGATAATAAAAGCGATTAAAGCAGCCGCTATCATAACCACCAATAAAACGCCGACAACAATAGGAATCACTTTAGTCGGTACATAATCGGCAGCACAAGAGGAAGCTAGAGGTAAAATGTTAAAAATCAATAATTATTGATGCATTTGATGTAAATATCTTACATAAGGGGTTGTTAGTTTGAGTAAACGTTTTACAATAAACATAAAGGCAATTTTCAGTTAGGTTTTAATTCCATGAACGAAATAATTCAGGTTAAGACAGCGACATTACGGTCAGGGCACATTCCGCTAAAATAAATGTTGACCGTGAAGGGAATATATACAATTATTAATACATTAGGTTGTAAGAATAAAAACGTTCATCTACGATTGTGGACGTGAAGTAGTAGAGAAAGAATACAAAGAAATGCTAGATGATGCAATGACAGAATCACATCAAGCATAATATTTTGTGCACCAAAACAGAGAAACGTGCTTTGAAACTGTCATACAGTCATCATCATTGCTCAGTGATAAAGAAAAAGTTTCTGAAATGGATGCGATTGTCGAGAAACTATTTATGATCACATAAATGCCCTAAAAAGAAAAGACTTTTAAGTCATATGAATAAAATTCTATATTGAAGTTGCCAGTAGCCAACCTGTAAATGTTTACTAATCCCGTAAAACTGGTATCTATTTTTCTTAAATTTCTCTTGTTAGGTATGATAAACTCTTCTCTTATAACACCAATATTATAATTGGCTATAATTGATGGGAAAAAATAGATCTTCAATATTGTCTATATAATTAAACTTAATGTAACCTTCTTTCCTTATACTACACAAAATAATAAGTTTGTTCTTGTGTTACTTTATGCATACCGAGCATAAATGTTGAAAGGTGGGAGACAATTATATATTATGACAACACCATAGTCACTAAATGAATAAAGACTAGATTAGTAACGTTTTAGAGAAATAGGATGAACTAGTCGATGAGGTTGTAAAGTCCCACTACAAGATACAATGTCATATACCTCGACATGTGATATGAACTGAAGTAGAAAATAAGGTTGGAGAAAAAAATAGCTAAGAATGAATAAACAAAGATCAGTCACAAGACCGTTAAATGACTGACGTGTGGTTGTGGTTGTATTTAGATACATCTATGAGTGTCCCAGTAAGCGATGGTTGACGACTTCTTGTGTAATCAATAAGATTTACAATCGGCGTCCAACAATGGTGGTCTTTCTTGACTTAAAAGCAGCATTTGACTCGGTAGACCGCGAGATTCTGTGGCAGTGTCTGTCATTGGAAGGCATACCTCAGAAGTACGTAGACATTGTGAAGGCTATTTACTCGAAAACTACCAGTTGAGTCAGAGCTTATGGCGAACTGTCATCTGATTTTGCAACCTCAAGTGGTGTCCGGTAAGGCTGTCCATTGGACTTGGACCGATGCATATATGTGCCAGGTCCTACGTTGTAGCTGACTGACTGACTAAATTCGAAAAGAAAGACTGAACTCGTGGAATAACAGGTACAGTATAATCTAAAACTCTTGATCTCAGGGGAAACAAAGAGTGAATGTATTTGTATTATTGTGAACTATCTTGAACCATATCATCCAACGTCTTCAGTTACTGGTCATGGTAATTACGTAGAAAATGACAATTTGTATAGTAAAACCAAATTACATTGACTAAAGTTTTTAAACTAGAAGAAATAAATGGCTTGTGTAACCAATGTATTATGAGATTTATGGAATTTTTGCAATATAAAATGTGTATTTCAAATTTTTTGATATATCTTACCACTTGATTTTAAATTCATCATGGACAAGCTACCATTTCGAACGAAGCATAGTCTTTTTATTTGTTCACATGTTATTGATGAATAAATTATATATATCAACATTGAGTTCATATTTATTGCCCTGTGATATTTAACAGTACGCACGTAAAAAGTAAATCAAAGCCAGAATCTTCAATACAAACGTCAAGACAGTTCTACCATATGGAGCTGAAACTTGAAGAAATACTATAACTATCATCGAAAAAGTGCAAGTATTTATAAACAATTGTCTACGCAAGATACCATCAGCAACAACCTACTATAGGACAGAACAAACCAGCTTCCAACTGACGACGAAACTAGAAAAAGACGCTTGAAGTGGACAGGACATACATTGAGGAAATCATTAAACAGCATCACGAGGCAAGAGCTAACTTGGAATCCTGAAGGGAAGTTGAAAAGTGGGAGGCTGAAGAACACACTGTGTCGTGAATTGCAAACAGACATCAAAAGGATGAATAGCAACTGGAAAGAACTAGAAAGGATGGTCCAGGACAGAGTTGAATGGAGAATGCTGGTGGGCCACCTATGCTCCTCCACGAGGTGTAATAGGCATAATTAAGTACATAAAAGTAGTAATTATATATATAGTTAAAGCAACAAATAAGGAAAATAAATGAAATTTTAAAAAAAATTTTCTAAATAATTTAATTAACTTACTTGGTCCAGTAAACGTATTATTAGAAACATCATTATTTCTGAATGCTTCAACTTGGAACTCACTAAATGTAAGTCGTACATTTGTTGAATTTGATGATTTATCTTTTAATTCATAGGTTTGTTCACTTAGACAAATAAACGATGTACCAATAGCACAAGAAAAAAGTGATTTATTCGTGGAAGCATTACGTGGACCTATCACCACCGACCCCCGAGAAAAAAAAAACAAAAAAAGAAATATAATTTATAAACAATCACTTCTTATAAATGTAAAGTGATTAACCAAATATTATAAATACAATATACATAATTAAAACAAAGATTTTATGTATATTAGTTACCATATTGATTGGTAATATGAATAATATCAGTATAGGGGTTGTGGAGATTGTTAAGTTTTTGATTGAGATCATGAATCAATTGATGTTAGACCACCATTGGAAACCTTGAAGCACTGGACGGCCGTTTCGTCCTAGTATGGGACTCTTCAGCAGTGCGCATCCACGATCCCGCTCCCTGCGAGATTCGAACCCAGGACCTATCGGTCTCGCGCCAGGCGAGACACCATTGGATGCCGGCTCAGTGGTCTAGTTGGTTAAGCGCCTGGTGCGAGACTGATAGGTCCTGGGTTCGAATCTCGTGGGGTACGGGATCGTGGATGCGCACTGCTGAAGAGTCCCATACTAGGACGAAGCGGCCGTCCAGCGCTTCAGGGTTTCCAACGGTGGTCTAACATCAATTGATTCATGATCTCAATCAATATGAATAATAATATCCAAGTAATTACTTGATATTAACACATAACAAATAATTAAACATACTATTGGAATAAAAATTGTATCATATTAAACATGTGAATATTCTCTAATATTATTAGTGAAATTCTGTTTTCTTAATATACACATATGTATTAATATCATTAGTAATATAATTTTGTTTGAATTATATATATATTCCTAGTAAGCTAATGTAGCAGCATATGAGTTAAAGAAATAAAATATGCATTTAATTAAAAAAAAGTATACAATGAGTTACATTAATTGTACAAACAACTACATATAAAAACTACATAAAATTTGGAATTTTAAAATTCGTTAACATTAGTACTGTATTATCTTGATCTAATATATTTGAAACTTCACTTATTTTAAGTAAAGTTGACAGAGTGATTAGCAGTGAAATTTAGAACTTGCATTTTCTTCTAATCAAGATTCGTTCATCCATTCCAATTTTGATACTCAACTTATACTCGAATTCGGTACCTTTTGATTATTTTATTAATACGTAATAATAAGATATAAACATTATACCCATTGAACAAGTTAATGACTATCTGGTAGGCTCTTGCTTCTTATGAATTATATTTCCAACAAATTGACTCTTTTCTTTCCACAAAATCCAATGTTTCCACTCATTTGTTGTTCTGACTATAAAGTGTAGAACGATTTCAGCCAATACATACTTTTATCAGACCTGCTACATTGTTTATAAATGGCTGACAGGTAATATTCATTATATATACGTGATAAATTATTCACCGCTAGAAAATAATCAATTAAACTATTGTATAAATTAGAGTTCAGCACATACTAACTAAAACTGATGTCGAATTATGGTAGCATGCATATTTATATATGTACTGTCGGACATAAAGAGATCGTTGTGCTATATATATATATATATAAATTCATAAATCCAAATCAAAACATATGTTTATACCAATACTGTTCTAATGATGTAAATTCATTTGGACTTCGGTAAAACAAGATCGACCAGTTTTTGTTAAGTAGTCAATTTTCAACAATTAATTTAATGCATACAACCATACAATAACGAAAGATGTGAAACACAGTGATTATTTGTTTATAGACACAGTGTCACAGTATTGTTGTAAATGTTACCCAAACGTGTATAGAACTTATCCAATGTAATAAACAATGAAAATCGTTTATGTAATTTATGCACTAATTATCAGTATTTTCATATTCAGTCAACTAAAAAAACAGTTTAACTATATACATGATAATGAGAATAATCCTCAGTAGTTCGTTGAAATAAAATTCGTTTGTTGTATTGGGGGTATTGAGATTAGAAATTACTAGTTAGTATAAATGGGACCAATCCCAATCAGAATTCCCCTGATAAATGTAGACTATCCCTTCATAACAACTGTGAAACGACGAATTTGATCAAAATAATTTTTAACATAAAATTTCATGGTCAAATGACATCCTAGTAAACTTGGGAAAGGTTTTAGGGATAATCTGTTTATACTTAAACAGATGACAGTCTAATTACAGCGGAGGTTAATTTGATAGAAGTATTCAGTGTTACTTTAAAAGTATGGTGAGGTTATGTGTCACAATCAGAATACGTCAAAAGTTTCTGTAAATTTAAGGCTGATATTAAATACTATATATTTTACTTAGGAAGTGCAAGAAAATTATCTATAGGGTCATGAAATTATACTGAATCACAAAATTAGACAGAATCAAAATAGAGGTTCATAAACTAGCGTTCATAGGAAGCCATCAGCCTTTATTTTAAGCTAGATCACCGCATATCGAATAAAAAGGCTTGATGAAATGTTGAAAAGTTCCATCTTACGTTTAAGAACAACGTAGCGGAAGTTTTATTCAGAATTATGTTTGATAACATTTTAAAACACCGAGTTGGATGGTCATTAACCTCCCATACAAGGAGCACCAAAATTCCTTAGCACAGTTATACGTTTATAAAATTTGTCATGGAAGTTCTACTCATTGTTTTCAAGTGTTAGGTGTGCTTTTACAAAAGTAAAGGCTAAAGTGGACATACGGTGCTTAAGACGAACTGGTGGACGTAAAGTGCACCTAAGTCAGTTGAAAAATCTGATTACAAACCAGTGATGAAAATGAATTCTAAAATTCCGAGAATGGATAGGTCACAAACACACTTTGGTCACCAGTTGGAGTCATCCCAATGTCTAGAAGTTTAGGGCCTCATGCTAAAAGCCTAGGGGTAAACTCTTAAATTTAGAATCCAAAGTAATAAGGACAGTTTTCACAATCAAGAGGGGATCAATCTTTAACGAGAGCGAGCTTAAGAATGAAGCATTCTTTAGATACGATCACAGTAATTAATGCTAATAGAACTTTATCAGAACTACGTGATCCTCCAATACAACACTTGGTTTTGATAAACGTCATCTCCTAATTGCATCAGCTAAATTTATCAAAAGGACTAACTATTTTGAGATTAAGAAGCTAAATCTATAATGGAACGAGGGAAATTATGACAGCTGAACGATATATTGATTCTTACTATCAGATGGGAGCATTTATCGAGAAACAGATGATCTTTTATCACAGCAATTGAGAACTGAAGCTATTAAAAATTACTGATAATCAAAATTTAGATATATAGGGAGCTTCCTAAAAGTAATGGCTTTTGTAAGAGAAAAATAAATACTGTTTTTAGGAATTGGAGAGTGGAACGTTACAGTGAATTCAACAATAAAATCAAAGATTATTTCCAAAACTTTGTCCGGATCACACAAAAACTAAATATACTTAGTATTTGATTAGCTTCTGTGATTTACTATGAATACCATACAAATTAATATCAGGTTATAAGATTACAATTAGTAGAGCTTTAACAAACTATATAATGAAGTAGACATTAAATTACACGAATTTTAAGGCAATACATAAAAATAAATTAAACAAATTTATGAGAAATAAAATGATGAAAATAATCCTCTGAAATAACTATTCTGGTGTTATTTTTTATAAGTACAATTCTCTAACAACAATAGTTTTGTCACATTAGATACTATCAGTATTAACTCCAACTAGAAAATCGGATTAACCCTAGTATGATTGATTTTCTCTAAAAATTCTTTCTTACTATCAAACACAACTGAATTTTAAGCGAGTATTCTTGTAGATTAATTTGTGATTCATATGATCTTGCATTTATTAGATGATCGATCACATCTGTATTAATCTGTATATTGACTATAAATTAACGCAAATAATAAATCAATTGTTTTTATCTGCACATTTTTGTAGGTAAATTTGAGTTTTACTGCTTGAAGAGCAAAGAAAGATCCAACTTTCAGTTGAGGAAGAAATTAAGAAAAAATACATCTCGCGGAAACCATTCAACTGTTTCACGAGAGAAACCCTAAATATAAATTATATGGACAGAGAAACAAAGTCGTGACAAACTACAGTTGTTTTGTGGACGTTATTTCACTTAATTCAAGAATTGTAAGATACAAACATTTAGTTTCGTCTCCACGTTATTCTATAAACCATAAGCTTCAGTTTGATGCATGATTCACTGACATACCCATTTCTGTTCCAAAGCTATTGTAATTTAAACGTAACATTTAGTACTCTATTTTTTCTACCCTAATGCCCAGTTTCGACATAATTATATTTTTCTAATTGTTTGGCGTTGTGGCCACGTTAAACATCTATTTATTCATGTTTTTGCACTGATCTGAATTTGGAATAAAAAATAAACCGAGTATTGTTCCAGTTGACTTGTCTTCTATCTTGCTTGTCAACTGACCGGGTAATAGAATAGTTTTCGTCTCTCTACCTATGGTCTTCAGTCCCAATTCGGATTCACACATTTCCAGACCCAAGGTTAAACCAGATAGTCTATCGTGTCCGGACCTTAATCTAGATTGAGATAGTTGGCGGAATAAAACATGAAATACTATTGAAACTCGAGATCTTAGTCACCAGTCTTATGCAACGTAAAACATGACACATTTCTACATTATTTCAAGATCTAGAGGAAGGTAAAGAATTAATGCATCTGCGTCAGTGACTGGTTTTGAAGCGTCACCCGACGTCTCTGGTTGTTTACCACGATTATTAGGCAAACGTAAGCAACAAACGTTCAAGTATGTTACGACTTAGTGTTCAGTCTATATATTTCATCCCGAGAAACAAAGGCGTATGAAACCAGTTATCCTAATGTAGCCTTGCATACTGGACAAAGTTGGCCAGTGAAGGTTACAAACCAACACTTAACTCGTCAAAGCCTGGTGAGGAAAGTGGAGAGTAGTATATGAACCATACATTGAGAGACCCGTCAGTAATTTTCACTTGTGGAGAACAAGCGCATTTTAAAACAGGATACATTTACATGTCTACTAAGTAGTGCTAATACCATTCAATAATATTTTAGTCAGTAGTATTTCAGCCATTAAACCAATGGTTAACGTAAAGATGATGTAGTTACAAAACACTTCAAAACACTAGACATAAAGACTAGCAAGAATTATAATCAGTGTCGTAAATTGCTTAAATACCTTTAAGACACTTAGCTAAGACCTAAAACTGACTCCGTAGACGCCCAAATTCGAGACAAACAGGCAGGATTCCGTAAGGATAGATCGTGTACAGACCAAATCGCAACTCTACGGACCATTATGGAACAATCAATTGAATGGAATTCATCACTCTACATCAACTTCATTGACTACAAGAAAGCATTTGATAGCGTGGATAGGACAACACTATAGAAGCTTCTTCAACACTACGGCATGCCTAAGAAAATAGTCAGTCAGTCAGCTACAACGTAGGACCAGGCACATATGTGCATCGGTCCAAGTTGCCACATCTTATTAGCACAACAAGATGAACACCGGATTCATAGCAGTGGTTAGGTCAATGGTTGAAATATATAAAAGAAAGATTGAAATAAGGATATAGTATAGGAAGAAAGAATTAGTTCGTAGAAAGAAAGATATGAAGTGATTTTAATCTCTTAGTTTAAGGGAAGACAGGGAGTGTATACACCGACGCCATTGTGATCGATTCTGAGCCATGTCACCAAGAGTCTCCAACCATTGGTTACGATAGTCACGCGGACACCAACCAAGTAGTCTGCATCTACCAACATGGCTCAGACTAGAAGTTAGTGTCCTCAAGCACTGATGACACGTTTTGGTTTGGCCGCCCCTTATTTTCTTCCAACCATCTCTAACACCGGTTAGCATTGCACGTCGTGGTAATCGGTGTTTGGGCATACGTAACACGTGGCCCAACCATCTCAGTCGATGAAGATTCACAATCTCATCAACTGATTTACCATCATTCCCTAATACCCTGCGTCTAACCTCACTATTACTTACCCGGTGATCCCAGCAGATGCCAGCAATATTTCTAAGGCATCTGTGGTCAAATACTAGTAGCTTACGGGTGTCTTCTACTCTTAAAGACCATGTTTCGCTGCTGTAAAGTAAAACAGAACGGACTGCCGCGCAGTATGCCCGTCCCTTAATTGATAGACGGATATCTCGCCTTCGCCATAGGTGACGTAAGTTGACGAAGGCCAAACGAGCTTTTCTAATCCGTGCTGAGATTTCGTCCGATACCAACCCATTAGCGCTGATCAGACTTCCAAGATAAGTGGAGTTGTCAACGCGTTCGACTACTTCACTCCCTATCCTTAGTTCCGATGTTGACGCAGACCCGTCCTGAAGCAAAAACTTGCATTTAGAGGAAGAGAAGCGCATTCCAAACATTCTGGCATTGTTGTTTAGTGCTACCAAAAGACTGCATTTTATCAGCATCTTAACCAAACAGGACTATGTCATCTGAGTATTCTAAGTCGATAAATGGACCTCCTAGTGGGAGATCAATGCCCGAAAATGCAGTCGATGAGAACGCTGTTCTCATCACTATGTCAATGATGAAGTTGAACGAAAATGGAGATAATGGACAGCCTTGACGGACACCACTTGAGGTTGCAAAATCAGATGACAGTTTGCCATAAGCTCTGACTCAACTGGTAGTTTCCGAGTAAATAGCCTTCACAATGTCTACGTACTTCTGAGGTATGCCTTTCAATGACAGACACTGCCACAGAATCTCGCGGTCTACTGAGTCAAATGCTGCTTTTAAGTCAAGAAAGACCACCATTGTCGGACGCTGACAAGTATGCCTGTGTTCTAGACCCTGAAGAATGGTGAATATGTGGTCGATGCAGCCATGACCAAGTCTGAAGCCAGATCGATTCTCTCGTGTTTGCAGTTCACGAGTCCTTGTTAGGCGTTCGATAATTATCGAGGCTAGTATATTAGAAGCTATATTAGCTAAAGTAATCCGTCTATGGTTGTTACAGGATGATTTTAACCCTTTCTTATATATTGGAACGATCAATGATTGCGACCAGTGACATGGGATTACAAAATTTATAACCTACTACTGAAAAAATTTTAGTTCATAAAACGAAATGTCATAAGAAAACTAGATAATAAACTGACCCGATTTATCCAGCCAGTACAATAAGTATACATTAGTTAAACCATAATAACCAGGATGGGTCTCAGAGAAATTAAATGATATATTCCAATTGCCCTCAGAACCATTCGGTTTCCAACCCAAGTTTAAGAGGTTGTATTCTTTGCTAGTGGAATTGATGCATGCGCCGCTGGAGTTGATGCTTTTAGCATTTGTTGAATTAATGTAGGTTGTAAACACTGATTCTGATTGCTTAACAGCATCCTAAAACAGCATTACATGAGCAATCAATTAGACACTTAAAATACTTGATATAGAACATGCATAAAGACGACATGGTGGTAAAATAATTGACAAAGGCGCAACCTGAATTCAAAGGGATACTAAATTATTTTATTTATTATTATTTGAACACATAAATATTGGTACACAAGGGCACCAAATACATATGCGCCACACAAAACAATGAGAGAAGAAGGAAAAAAGTAAGGAGCGTAAAAAAACAATAACGTACAGATTAGTGTAAGGTAGTGTAATAATAATAATGGGGAAACAAAAAGGTACAATCAGAAGAAATCTTTCAGTTAAGGAAGAAACAACCACTTTTTATGAAGAAAGTAAAAGAAGGTTACGACAGGATCGCCACTGGCTTCTATTCTGAGACATCTGATAACGTCTCTAGCCACTGTGTCGCACCATCTCAAGGATCCCAACCAGGGAGTCGTGAAGGACCAACACAGGCTAGCTCTCTGTAGCTTTCTTTCATATCACGACACCATGTCATACACTGACCACCTCTCCGCTTTTTCCAACCAGTCTCAGCATCGGCAAATAATACACGGCGTGGAATTATCTGGGACGACATTCGTAGAAATGTCCAAGCCACCGAAGTCGATGTTTCAAGATGGTGACACCAATTGCATTATCATCTCTGTGCCCGAACACACGATGCCGAACCTCTGCATTAGTAACATGATGTTGCCACTGGATGTCAGAAATCCTTCGGAGACAGCGATGATCGAACAGAGAGTCGTCTAACGTCCTCAACTCGGAGAGACCAGGTTTCACAAGCATAGAGCAAAACTGCTCTCACCGACGCGTTGTAGATTCGACCTTTTACAACCAGACTAACATCACGAAGGCGCCAAAAATGACCCAGATTGGCATAAGCCGCTCTGGTTCTCACTATACGTGCATTGATCTCATCACTCACACCCCCACCAGCACTTATGCAGCTACCCAGATACACGAACATCTCGACTACTTCTATCTGCTCACCGTCCAGAGTGAGTACAGGATTAGAATCCTGACAGTCTTGTAGAAGTACTTTGCACTTCGAAGGTGCAAAGCACATACCATACCTACGGACACCGATTGCCAACTGATTAAGTGCGGATTGCATGCCTGGGGCATTATCGCACAGTAAGACAATATCGTCCGCATACTCAAGGTCGAGAAGTCTTTCTCCAGGCAACAGATCCACACCACCATTACTTACATTCATCAGAGCTGTTTCCAGAATGTCATCGATGGCAAAGTTGAAGAGGAATGGTGAGATTGGGCAACCCTGCCTAACCCCACTGCTCGAATGGAACAATGGAGAGAGGTGGTTGTATGCCCTCACTCTGCCTGAGGTGTTTGTATATAGGGCTTTTAGGATGTTAATAAACTTCTCAGGCACACCCTTCTTCAATAGACAATCCCAGGGAACAGTCCTGTCCAACGAATCGAAGGCAGCCCTGATGTCAAGAAACACTACGATTGTTGACCTTTGATAAGTATGGCGGTGTTCTAACATTTGGCGGAGGGTGAAGATATGATCAATATATCCTCGACCGGAACGAAACCTAGCCTGCTCCTCGCGAGTCAATCTTTCTCGGGTTTTGAACAACCTACGAAGTATGACGGAAGCCAATAGCTTGGACGCAATCGGAAGTAGACTTATCCCTCGATAGTTGTTACAGGAACGGGGTGAACCCTTTTTAAAGATAGGGACAACTATCGACTCATTCCACGACGTTGGTACACTCTCTAGTTCCCAGACCTTTGTAAACAACGTCGTCAGTTGCTTAGTCAGAAAGTCACCACCATCTTTAAAAAGAGTCGAAGGTTAGTCATCTGGGCCAGGTGATTTGTAGCGCCTCAAGAGCTGGAGTTCCTTGCGGACTTCCTCCTCATTTGGTGGATCAGTCGTCACCGGCCATGGAGGGCAGGACAGTCTGACTGATGCTGCCGGAGCAGCAGGCCAGTTGAACTGCCCTTCGAAAAATTCTGCCCATCGTCCAAGACGTCGATGGATGTTAGTGGTTGGCATCCCATCAACCTCGCAGATTGTTTCACTCACACCAGACTTCTTGCTGCCAGTGGCTCGGATGAGCTGGAAGAGCTTCCGGTAGTTACCAGATGCAGCTGCTGCTTCCAGCTCATTAGCACGCATCGACCACCAGGCTTCTCGGTCCTTACGCAAGCTTTGCCCGATTTCCTTACGTAACATCCCTCGTTTATGGTCAAACTCACGGTCACTCGGAGTAGACCGACGGGCTTCGATGAGTTGTAAGGAACCAGAAGAAACCCAGTACTTATAAGCGGGACGTTTCGCAAACCCACAACTGACTGTTCCCGCCATTTTCATGGCGTCATGCAATTGCAACCAATGCTCATCTATACTTTTCGGTGGAGTGGTAGCTAGCCTAGAGGCTAGCTCGGTTCGATACTTACTTGCAACAGAAGTTGCAACCAGCTTGCTAACATCAATCCGTTGATGGCGGTCACTTCGTTGTCCACTGAAAAGTAAGGCAAGATTGGCGCAGACCAAAGCATGGTCAGAGTCCAGATAGGTACTCCAAAAGGAGCGGCAGTCTTGTACACAACCACGCCAGCGGTAGCTGATCGCGATGTGATCAATCTGAGTCCAGGCTTGAGATGCAGAGGGAGGACGCCAGGTGGCACATCGGCGATGACTGTGCCGAAAGTTAGTGCTAGCCAGAAACAGGTTGTGGTCTGCGCAAAGTTGCAGTAGACGGTCCCCGTTATCTGACCTGCGACCAACGAGTCCCCATCGGCCACCTAAACGACTCTCTTCTGTGCCTAGACGCCCGACCTGAGCATTCAAGTCTCCGGCTAGTACTACGATATCTGTCGAACGCACTTTCTGGAGAAGAACTGATAACTGGTGGTAAAACTCATCCTTGATTGCATCCGGGCTGCAATCTGTCGGGGCATAGGCGGAGATGACGAAAAGACATCGTTTCTCACGCCGATTTCTTCTCACTTTGATGGAACTTTCCAATCTAACAGCACATAACCGACTGTTAATGGGGATCCAATCGATTAGTGCTGCCTCAGCTCTAGCGCTTAGTGCGACACCAACGCCAGCAAGACAAGCCGAAGATGCCACAGGGTCCCCGGACAAACGCACGTAAAACAAGCTTTTCGAAGCGACAGATGAAGATCGAATTTGTAGTACTTCGCCAGAGTCTTGAATACGGGTCTCGGATAGACAACAAACATCAATATCAAGACTTTCCAAAGACATAGCCAGCCCTATCTGTTGTCCGACCTGCATAAATGTGCGAACGTTGAAGGCAGCCAGTTTGAATGGTGCACGTGGTTTCAGAAAAACTGCTTCAGTTCTCGTATTCGGTGGTAACATACAATTTTCAACCGGACAGTGACTCGAGAACGTTTAGATACAGTCGAATTTCCACCAAAGACGAGCCGCTGTATGAGTATAAAAGAGGGTGAATAATGTGGAAAATAATAATAATGATAAGAATAACAATAATAATGACAATAATAGCAATAATAGTAATAGTATTAATAATGACAATAATTGTAATGATCATAATTTGAATCAATTGATTGTTTTTCGAAGCGAGAAAAGCAATTTCCATAGACATAAAGAGTTCATCATTTGTGTGTGGGCTGTGATACTGCCCGGGTGCCCAAACCGAAGCAGGTGGTTTTCTTAGGGGGCCACACCCCGAGCCTTCGACCTGAAGGTCTAATCCACAAGGCAGTGGAGCATCGTAAGGAGATGCAATCCCATGGAAGTCGGTGACCAACGATTGGTTCATACGCCATTTGTTCCTTCAGGATACTGGAGCCCATGTGCACCATTGGTTTGTGATCCGGTTAAAGCGCCGGACATTCGCTTTTCATCCTCTCATTTTCGTAAACAACACCCTCGCCACGAGAAGGCAATGAGTAGGACTTCTCTGGCAGAGGCTGTATACGCGCGGCCGTGTGAGAGTATTTCGAGAGGGAGAGTGGACTCTCCCCACTCTCGGCCGTACCAGGGCAAATGAAAGAAACTACCGAATAACATTACACACTGAAAACCCCTACATTTATCCAACAACCTTAATGGACATGGCGTTAAGAAACAACGCGGATTCGGACGACAGTTAGTCCACTGTACAATGTGCGCCTTCTCACTACTTTGGTTAGTTGCAAACATTAATTATTCCCTTGCAGATGATTTCAGTTGTGCTTTAGACTTGGTCAACTCGTCCACCAAGTTGTATATTGTCACTCGCAGGATGGGAACACCGCACCAATGCACACAGAAAAGCCCAGACGGTAAATCAGTTATTGTTTCTGATTTTCTACAGGAGTAATTAAACGCCAGCCAGATTACTTGTATGACTCTGTCGATTTGGATGTCGAGAAAATGCAAGCTGGGTACGGTTGGATGGAGTATCCTCAAGTTAGGCTGTTTGAAACACCAACTTCTCCAACTGTCAAGTAAATCTGTTATCTGCATAACTGTGTATGAATTAATTCAACCGAAGTAAAGCATTCGCCGTCAGTCAGTATCTCAACACCTAATAACATTGCAATCTATGGTAAGTTTTATTTGAAATATTCTGAAGTCTCGAAGATTATCAAAAACAAATGCAAAAATAAAAAAACTGTCGGTTGAGGTTGTGAGTAGTCTGCAAACATGAGTTAAATGATGCTACTGTTGCAAACACCAACAACAAAACATCAGTCAAAACAATTTAGCGGGGGACTAGCTGGCTTAAATTCCCCTTTGTCAACTGATGCCCCCTGAATGCCCTGGTACGGCCGAGAGTGGGGAGAGTCCGCTCTCCCTCTCGAAATACTCTCACACGGCCACGCGTATATAGCCTCTGCCAGGGAAGTCCTACTCATTGCCTTCTCGTGGCGGGGGTGTTGTTTACGAAAATGAGAGGACGAAAAGCGAATGTCCGGCGCTTTAACCGGATTCCAAACCAATGGTGCACATGGGCTCCAGTATC